ACAGCACGGCCTGTCAGGAGACGCTGCTTAGAGCCACACAGCTCCATTCGACTGCTCTGGCATTTTACAGAGACCTTAAAGCAAGTGCGAGTTATATTTACGAGCCATTTACACTTTTTTTTCACCATGTTAAGAGTGTTATAAAAAGACCCAAGCATAAATGAGAACAAGGGACTGTGTTGTTAATGCCAGTGCAACAAAAGCATGTTTTTTATCTTTAGAAAAGTGTCATTTTTCTCTAGATTGAAAAGATGGTCACACAGCACAGCTCCCCATCACCACCGCTGCCATCCCCATCCTCTGAAACAAAGCAAATCCGTGGCTCGCCAACAGCTGCAGCACGCTGTAGGGCTCATCTGCCTCACCAGTGACACCATTTAATACTGTAGGTTGTTTCGTGTTTTTGTAACATTATTTAATAACATATAGGAAAAGGATGCTTTGAATATAACTCACTCCAGGACAAACAGTAAACATCTGGCCTCAAGACGTGCTTCAAATAATGTCACAGAAGTTATAGTTTCAAGTACAAAGATAGACATAACAACAACGATCAATAACCTTCCTCTTGCTCTGGCCTGGTTAATTTTCCCTTTTCCATCTGTGAATATGACATAATGAAATGGACTTTATTTTATTCTGAGAAGGGCAGAGGAGAAGTACCATACACAAGCTTGCTCTATATTGTTATTGTTAGCTGTATATATTTAGCTAGGCTTTACTTTCCTCTAGTACATCATCATTTACACTCCGAAGCAGAGATTCCAGTGCAATGCATTATACATGTTATGACTGTGTTTATACAGCAGAATCGGCCTCTGCAACATGTCTGGTTTTCATGTCTTAAACCAATAAAACCTTACATTGGGCTTATCAAAACCATTCTGCGTAGATCTAAGTCTGTTGTGACTGAAATCAGTAATAAAACTTCTCTCGATGCCCTGTGGAACAGAGCTAAGGCCATGCTGAGCTCTCTTAATAAATTCCGCTCCAGTAAAAGTTTTATTTAAAAAATGTGGTCAGCCCAGAGCTTTTAAAGAAGATTAATGTGGACTTATAAAAAAATGTCTGATTTTATTATTAGTAGTAATTCATACAGTTTGTCCTGAAGTTTTCCTTTTCAGCTTCAGTTTGAACCATATGTTCAGGAAGTTCAACTGAAAAGTGATCCTTGAGCAATATTATTTTTTTCTAATTAACAATAACCACAGAGGTATTTTGGAGAAACCTACAGACTCCCTCAGAAGGCTGCGTAGCAGGCTGGATTAAATCAGGATTTTGTCTATTTTATGAAAAATGCACCGAAGCACAAATAGGTCAGCTTCAGAGGAGCCCTTCCTTTCCTGTTCCCCTAGACAAAGGATTCTGCATGCAGCAAATTTTAATTTCCATGAGGTCCTTTTCTGAAAGCCCTTGAAGAACTACGGGATCCGTCGGTGCCCCGTTGTCACCACTGGGACTGAGCAGAGGCACGGCAATACGGCCGTGTGGATCACGACTCAGGGTCTGGACCCAGCGGGTCAAAGCTGTTCCTGAAGTTCAAGCGTGACGTCTGTCAAATGCCAAAGTTCAGGCGAAAGCTGGAAGCCGGCTGCCAGCCTGCGTTTACACATACCGCACGGGGGGCTGGATTTAAACACAGCCATGTGCCCAGCCAGCTGGTCTGTATATGCCAACGACATAGAAGAGTCGTAAGGAAAAACCCCGCACTCAAAGGAAAACAGAAGTAAAAATCGCAAGTCAGAGCGAAGTCCATAAAAACGTATCTTTGCGCTGAATTTAACATCCCTAGTCCTAGGATATAAGATGTAGCTGATTGCATCATGAACATTTTCATACTTGATTTCAAACACAGCTTCTCCAATATTCCCCTTTTCAGTGACAACAGATTAAGTAAGTCTGGGCGCAGAAAAACCCAGCGCTGAGGGCTCCTGAAGACTTCTCGTTACAATGCTGCTCACAAGAGACTCCTTGCTGGTTGTCTTTCCCAACAAAGAGCATTGTTCAATCCAACAGCTCCATCGAAATGGCAGCGCCGCGTTCTGCTGCTGTTTTCACTGGGGTCCTTGTCAAATTTGATCAGTTTAAATGTTGAGACAGGTTTTTTTCCTGACCTGTCACACTGCACGCTGCGCCCGGGAGCTGAAAGCCATGCTGTGCTGCTTCTGATTAGACGCTCTTTATGCTTTGCTGGATTTGCTGTTAGTGCCAGCGCTGACATTCATGGGTGTCAACCACTGCCACCAGTTACCCGTGCAGTCTAATCTTGCTGTGCTCAGACTCTGCCCTCTTTCACACCGGAGACCTTAGTACGTTGGATTTGGGAAGTAGTCACCGCTCGCCTGGGTAGGCAGAATCAAAAAGCACGCAGCGACTCGCTCGTGGAGAGCGACGCAGTTGCAGGAGGGCAACAGAGTGGAAATCTGGTACGGGGTGGGGTGGGGAGCAGTCAGACAAACCTGTCCCACGGATGACACTTCGTCACCAGGAGTCTGCGTCACCAGACTGTCCCTGCACTGCGCACCTTGGCTTAGGTGGGAGACGTGGCCCTCATCACCCTTCAAAGCCGTGAAGGAACTCCACCTCTATTTACGCGGCTGCACTGCTTTTGTCCACAGCTGCGCTCTGAAGGGCGCCTGTCGTCCCGGGTGCTTCAGCCACAGTCACGGGAGCTTCAAGAGCGAGATGCTTCCACAGGAAAAGAAACAGGATCCAAGCCTCCCTTAGGAGGTCCACGTCTCTCTGTGCACACCAGCGTAGAAGACCCGAGGCTCCGTTTTTACACAGCCACTTTGCAGAGTAAACCCACGTATCAAAATGAAAGAAAAGAATGACACATTTTTACAGTCAGTCATAGAAAGAGGGCTGACTGATTTTGGTAACTTCCTTGTGAATATTGAATATCCTCAAATGTACTTCATGTATCTTTATATAATTTTTTTTTCCCCCGGTAGGTTCCTGTCTGATCACGTACTGGAAGCACGGTCCCTGGCTGGCAGCAATAACCTGCCCTCTCTGCAGACAGAAGGTAAGACTGACCTCCCTTGTACACATCTGCCTCAGGAGACATACAAAGCAACGAGCTTCAGCTCTTAGGATCAACTTTATTTATCCTCTGATTTTCTGTAGCATTTCAAAACCCACTTAGACTTGAGTGACCCTGCAGGCATTCGCATTTATCATTTGACACGTGTCATCTCAGGCAACTCTGTGAAATACTGAACAGGCCTCCAGCATTTCACTTTTGTATAGTTTATTAAATCTCCAGGATGACATTCCATAAAAAGCAATATGGTGGCTCCTAATCTCATCTGACCCTGGTCAGAGGCTGCCTGTTGCACTGGGAGGTTGGAGGCAGGTTATAAAAGGAAAATGTTCTTGCTCTTGTGGAACTGCTGGAGCTGGACAAAGGTCCAGTGGCGAGAAAGAGATTGTGGAGGGACAGGCGCTATGGAACGCGATCCTTTACACCGGAGGTTAAAACACACCGTGCTCATGTCCATCTTTTCTTACGAAGGTGGTTCTTCTGGACAACATCTCTTGCGAAAAACAACAAGATAAGCCAAGTAAACAGATTGTACATGACATTAGAGATTACAACAAGCGTTTCTCGGGGCAACCTCGACCTGTAAGTATTTATAAATCTGTACCTGCCTAGTCAGTAGCGCAGAACACACAGAGGCCTGAAAGAGACCCAGCAATGAAAACTAGTTTGTATCACTGTGTGAATTACCTTTGCGTGCGCTTATTGGCAGCATCATAGTGGAAGCGTTACTGGCCACCGCTGGGTCCAGCACCTTCCAGTAAAGGTGCTTCTCAGAGCTCCGAGCTCGGGGAGTCCTTCCGCAGTCACCCTGGCAGGGAGGAGAAAGCAGGGTGAGAGGGACTACAGGAACCAAAGCAGAACTAGAGATGGTCACCCTGGAACTTCCAAATATGAACTCAGACTTGAACTCCAGGATTTGAACTTGCCTCCAAAATTTGAAATCAGATTCCAGCTTAGAAAGCAGACGTTTTTCTCCTCAGGTATTGCCAAATTGGAACAGTCCACACTGGCTCTTCACCTTCTTACAGCTGGAATCACAGCTGGTACAGAGATGTGACAGGCAGTGGAAATGATGTGAGAGATGAGGGCTGAAGGCACAAGGGAGGTCCATTCCTGACAGGGTGCACAACAGCACCAAAGCAAATCCTCCTCTCCTGTCACATCCTGGTAGGGTCCTGAAAGGCTGGTGCAGTCTGTTTCACTCCACAGACTAAACTAAGCTCTGTGGAGGGGAAGATGTTCTTTTTCAACCCAACAAACAAGCATTAACGAAGAGGAATAATCACTCGGTCCTGTGGTTCCTGCCCACACCAAGGCAAGAACTGAGGCCTCATTTTCCAGCCTTCGTAGCCCACACCCGATGCCAGATTTTACAGACAGGCATATACTCAGTGCAGCCATTAGGGCCCAGGTGCCAGAAGGATGCAATGTCAGGCGTAATACTTTTTTCTCCAAGTGCTGGGGGAGTGGGGGTGCTTTTTAGAAGTGTGCCTCTAGACACTGCAAAGTAACTGAACACCACAGGTGGATGTGGAAAGCGCAGAAAGCCTCTGCATTCAAGAGATTTGAATCTGAAGCACTTAAGAGACAGATTCAGCTGAAAGGACCGCATGCCTCAGAATGCAAAATAGCGTAACTCATCTGAACGTTTAGTTTGCAGATTACCTTTACGACACACCGTTATTCCTGACTCTTGCCTTGCGAGGAATCTTCACCTGGGGTGGTCTCGTCTGGATTTTTTTCCTAAGAGTTGCTGTTTGCTCCTTTGGAACAATCGTATGCTTGTCTTCGCCATTTGACACGAAGCCTGGGCCTCTCTGTAGGACGCTTGGAACAGCTGACGACATGGTGGTTGTTTCCCTCCTTTTAATTTGCATGATAAACATTTGTCAGCAAATTGCATCTAATGGGGTAAATATGGCAAGGTCTGCAGCTCCCAGCGTGCTGCCAGAGCCCTGACTGACTCAAACTTGGACTCCTTGGTCAAACTTCATCAAGCGCTGACAGGCTTCTCTCTGACTCGGGGCAGCGTGCGATGGATTTGTCGCTCTGCTGCTGACCAAGGCTGAAGCAGGACTCAGCAGTACTTGGCATGGCCAAGGGACTCGGTGCACAAGCACTTAGAAAGCTAGTTTTACACGCCACTGTATATTTGCTAGACTCTTTCATGCTGCACTTCTCTGTAACTTATCTTCACACCAAGTGCCTGAACTGAAAATGCCTAAAGCTATGAACAGAGCCTGACATTACCATGCCAATTGACTTGCAGTGAAGAGTTTTAGAACTCCTGAGCTTTAACATTTTACATCTGGGCTCAGTTTGAATAAAACTTTACTTTGAGAACCTAGCAAACTGTACAATTCGCAAAGTCGTGTATAACACAAGGAGCGTTAGACAGCATCACTACAAAATCCTGTGTCAGTGCTTTGTGTTATCCCAACTGATTACAAACCCACTGGAACACAGATTTTTTTACAGCTCTGCAATGAGTACAGTCCTGATTTTAAAATAGATAATATGAAACTGGCAGTAACACTAGCTTGGACTGAAAATGCAACTACAAAGAAGAAGTATTACAAGGCGAGAGCAGCATTAAAAAATCATTCAAGAAATGTGAACAAATCTGTGTGCAACTCTTTCATAGAAGCCTGTGCAAGGTAGACAGCTCCCCCGACCTCGGTGCATCTAAGCTGTACCAGCATCAGCACGACTGTTCTGTTTCCTTTCTAGACTTCATACACTCCTTGCCATTTCCTTGTAAGTCTTGGTACCAGTTCAGCCAGAGAGATCAAGGCCAAAGTTATGATGATGATATAAATAGCAGGAAGTTTACGGAAACTTTGCCGAAGTTCGGGGCGGGGGGGGGAGGTGCATGTCTGTTGGTGTTGAGCTGCAAAGAGTTAAAAATGCTGGTGCAGTGCCAGACCGCCCTACACACCGGGCCCTGTATAATCTGTACATTTGCTACGTAACTGGAGTCAGCGGACTTCATTTTAACATATGAATTGTATATTAAAATAGGTATATTAAAATTTATGAATATTTATTGTTCACAATCCACTGGTCTCGAACTGTTTTTTCCTGCTGTGTGTTTTCAGTTGACATATTTTATTGTGCCCTTGAATTGTAAGCTATGATATACCATTATGCTGCAGTTGTTTTCTTGCTTGTTATACTCTTTTTGTTATGATGTTTCTTCATTTTATTCCCATCAACTTTCATTGTCTTTAATTATGTCCGTGAACTTGTAAAGCTGTTTCTCCTAACAATGGGTACGTTGGAAATGGCAACAATTGCTTTTCCATGAACTACAAGGCAGGAAGTGCATTGTTTCTTTAAAAAAGTTACCAGATGTTTTTGAGTGCTGACTACTAACATTAAAAAAAACCCAGAAATTATTATTTTCCAAGTTCTCTAAGTGTAATTTTGTTATTGTGTAACTTCTGTTTGCATTTAACTGGGAATTACAGCCTATGCCAATACTAAAGAATGGAATTTCTATCAAGCTGAGTGTACAAAGATGGAGTCTGTTTACTTTACAGGCATCTGGACCCTGTGGAAAGGGACGGTGGGTTGTTTCTCTTGCATAAGACAGGCTCACCAAGAGGGTGGCAGTTCGCAGTCTGAAGAAGAGAAGGGTTCTCATGAGTGACCATGAGTTACAGTTGATCTGAACATGCTCTTCTATTCTGTCACCCCTCGCTTCTTGATCCTCTCCTTCAGCCGGGGACCCTGGTTTTGCTCTTTAAACAGAATGGTATCTTTTACTAAGAAGTAACAGCCAAATGGCAGAGAAAGAAGGAATTTCTGAGAGAGTTTCACTGAAGGCACCGGCCGTGTTTGGATCTTGCAAGATCAAAACAACTGGTACTGTCAGGGCGAGACATTTTTGCTGTATGCAGCCGGAGCGCCCAGACCCTCTCCCTCCGCAGCCCAGGTACACCACGCCCTGTCGCTGTGAGCCTGGCAGCGCCCGGTCGGACTGACCGTCCAGGGCACCCTTCGGAATTCCCTGGACGTGGCCAGCAGGCAGCCAGGAAGGTTTCTGAGCATCGGCACACGCAAGCCTGAGGAAGGAAAACCCTTCCTCTCCCCTGCTGCGCTCGCCGCTGCGTGCACACGTGCTCTGAGCTGGGGCTGGCTGCAGGGACGTGACGAGAAGGGACACGGAGCAGAGCTGGGCTGTGTCAGGGCTGACTCCCCGCGAGGCAGCTGGCAGGGTGGAAGGAACGCACCTGCATTACGAACATATTTTCAGCAACTGCGTCTGCTCAGCCTAGTCTGTCGGTGCCAACAGCGGGCCGTTTCACATCTGCGCGGTGATTAATGTTCATTTTTGGGCCTTGGCTGTAGCAGACACTAACAGCCAGACACCGTGTGCGATCCCAGCTGTGGGTACCTGTGAAGAGCATGGCAAAGGGCCGCGGTTCAGGTCCATCAAGCCGGTGACGGTGCTCC